GGGTTTTTCTTAGAGGCCTCGACTTCATTCATTCTGTACCTGTGACAGGTGCAGGCAGCATCGATCCCACCCCGCCTGAGTCTCTGCCTGTCTTAGATCTCCAGTGGCCGCAGTGTGCAGCATCTTAAGGCCAGATCTTAATTCCCTAACTGGGACTCGAACTCTGGCCACAGTGGTACAGGTGCTAAATCCTAACTGCTGGCCCAGTAGGGACGAGAGGCTAGAAGCAGGCTCTTCTCTTCTTTGGAGGAAGAGTTCCAGCAAAGAGATGGGAATTTGTAAAGCAGATAGAGCATTTATTAAGAGTAAAGTCCTTGTGGTGAAGAAACATGGGCAGGCCCAGAGGGAGCCACATGCTTTTGGGACGATTTATAAGGGGGCAGTTTTCCAGGTTCCCTCTGGCCAATCATCTTGCTTTGTCTGACTCCATATCCATATCTGGTCTGACTCAGGGCCCTTCCAGGTGTGCACGGCATCTTTTGTTCAAGATAGAATCAAGCGTGGGAGATTCTATAGAATCAACCTCTGGGAGGTTGGCAGGACGTATTATGGGCAATGCCCTCTCCCTTTGCTGACCCCAGAGAAGCCTTCCTGCGCATGTGAAGTTTGTGAGGCCTCCTTGACTTTGACTGCAAGAAGGAGAAGTATGTAGGCCCCTTAACTTTTGATCCATGTGAGCCTCAGCTCCTCTCTGCTCCCGACATTATCTTTATCTTGAACTGTCTGTCCTCAGGGGACGAACACCAGCCACTCAGCCTGGGGCCCATCTATCTGCGCCCTCATCCTGTCTGTCCCTGCTTCCCTCCTGCTAGCCTGCTCACAGCTGCCTCTCTCTTCTCTCTGTCCCCTAGCCCAGGGTGATGGGAAAATTTGACAGAAAAGCTGCAAAGTGTCGCCAAGGGCTCAGCACTTGATGGCAAGGTGGAGCTGTGGAGATAGTCCTAGTTTTTCAATTTCTCCCGAACTTTTTCACTAAATGGCTTCTACATTTAATTTTTTTCTTTCTTTTATATCAAAATATTCTTAAGAGGACATACATCTACTTAATAATGATATGATATTCTGGGGATTGTTCTCTATCTGGCTTCAGATAACTTCAATTTTCTAATCCCTATAATGGGAGTGAGGGGTTCCCAAGTGGCACTAGTGGTAAAGAAACTGCCTGTCAATGCAGGAGACATAAGAGACGTGGGTTTGATCCCTGGGTAGGGAAGATCCCCTGGAGAAGGGCATGGAAATCCACTCCAGTGTTCTTGCCTGGAGAATCCCATGGACAGAGGAGCCTGGCGGGCTACAGTCCATAGGGTCGCAAAGAGTCAGACACGACTGGTGACTTAGCACTCACACATGCCTAATGGGAGTGACAGCAGTCTATCCCACGTAGGCTTGTAAGAATTAAATTTACGTGTATGCATTTATGTATACATGGGCACACACTGCCGAAATCAAATTGGCAGGTGTAATATTGTGATACAATAAGAAATACATGTTTGGGTCTTTACACACCCACCACCCATGAAAGAGAATTCCACTTTTCCACACCAGGGAGTTGTCATTACTAGTAATTTCAGCAATTCTGATGGGTGGGTAGTGGTATCTTGCTGTTGGTTGTTGTCGTTTTATTTGGTCGGTTTTTGGTTTTGGTGGGGTTTTTTGTGCATTCCTGATGACTGATGATGTTCGGCCATTTTTCAGATGCCTCTTGGTGATTTGGATATCCTCTTTGATGAAGTATCTGTTCAAGCCTTTGCCTTTGCTTCTAAGTTATGGTCTTTTCCGTATTGACTTGTAGAAATGTTTAAGACCCGGGTAGGATTAGTCCTTTATCAGACAGACATCTTGTAAGCACCATCTCCCGGTCAGTGCCTTGCTTCTGCATGCTCTTAGGTTACTTCTGGTGGACAGAAATTCTTACTGTTCATGAAGGTCAATTCATCACTTGTTTATGGCTCACATGATTTGTGTGCCATTTAAGAAGTCTTCGCTATCTCAAGCTCATGAAGATATTCTACCACACCTTCTTCTAGAAGACCGTGTTGACAGTTGTAGTGGGGTTTTTTGTTTGTTTTTTTGCCGCACAGTGTGGCAGGCAGTATCTTAGTTTCCCATCCAGGGATCGAACCTGCACCCCCTGCAGTGGAAACTCATATCCTTAACCACTGGGCCACCAGGGAAGTCCAATACTTGTAGTTCTTAAGGTAAAAATAACATTGAATATCAGCAGTTAATATGGTTCATTCTACTACCTTTCACATTTGGGTCTATTATTTCTTAAATTAATTTTGTATGTGGAGTAAGATGACGTCAAAGTTCATTTCCCCCATGTGGATATTCAGACCTTCCTGCACTATTCGTTGAAAGGACCTTTCTTTCCCACTGAATTGCAGTGGTCTCTTTGCCTCATAGCAGGTGACTCTTCTTAGGCGTGTCTGACCTGGATTCTCTAGTCTATTCCATTTGTTAAGTCGTATGTCTGTGCCAATACTGCACTGTCTTAATCGCTATAGCTTTACAGCCATGATTGATAGCTGGCCATGTAAGAAAGCTCAGTATTTTCAGAGATGTCCCAGAATCTTCCCACAATCATCAGGCAAGAATTACTTGCTTTAGAGCAGAGAATCTCAAACTTGGATGTTTATTATAGCCCCCAGGAGAGGTTCTTAAGAGCAGCCTCTCACTGGCTTTTTCCCAAACCAACTAAATCAGAAGCTCAGAAGGGATATTCAGGGAATGAGTATTCTTAAAGCTTCCAGGTGATTCTAACATGCTCCTAGACCTGAGACAACTACTTTAGAGATAGGATATGCTCATTTTTTGAAAAAAGGAAATAGAAGAGGCTTTTTGTTTTCTAGATCATCCACTCACTTTTTCCAGGCTGCAAAATCTTTGTTGTGCTACCCTTGCTCTCAGTTTTCACTTAGAGAACTCCTATTCATCCTTCAGGACCCAGTTCAAGATTGCCCCATCTATGAAACCATCCCAAGTACTTCAAGAGGAGTCAGGTGCCTCTCATCTGCTCTCACCTCCCAGAGCTACCTCTACCTCAGCATTTACCAAGCTTGTCTGTATCTCTGGATGCCCCTGTGTTCCCATCAGACTTGGGCTCTTGGAGTCAGGGCATGGCATAGTCATTAATATGTTCCTAGATCTCTCACAGTCCCAGCATCTGGGAGAACCAAAGAGCAAGGGTAAAATGGAAATTCCTTGCACATGGCCAAGCTGTAAAAACATATTCAAGCCACCGCCCAGTCTCAGGGCATTGCCTCTCGTCCATCAGCTGCCTGCAATGTCCCCAGACTTGACTGTCATCTTTATCCTCCCAGCCATTGATGGACACTAGACTCCAATCCCATTATCCATAGGGGATCGGAGAGGCCTCAAGTCTAAGCCCTGATCCCTTGATGGTGCTAGATGGGGGCTGGACCTCCCATAGCCATCTCCCTGATGCTCCACACTGATGCTACCCCGCAAGTCTACCTTGGCTGATGGAGGACTGGAATATGGCTTCCTCCTGCAAGGGTGGGCGGCTCCTCACTGAGATCTAGTGCCTGACCTGGCCTCTAGCCCACCTGCAGCTGCCCTCTGCTGTGACCTACTGGCCCCTGGGAGTTGTATGTGCTTGGGCATCCCCGGTGGCTCCATGGGCATCCCCACTCGCCCGGGTACTGACCCGCCCAGCCTCACCCATGCATCCTCATGGGAGTTTGCCCTGGAAGCGAGCGCGTCTGGGCCCGGCCGGCAGGTGTGGTTGGCAGACACCCACTGGCCTCACCCTGTCATTAGCAGGCAGGGTTATTTCCGGCCTGACCTGGATTCTGGGCCGGCGTCCGTCTGGCCGGCGGTCAGCGCCCATCACGATCAGGACCGCCTTCCCGTCCGCCCGTCCATCGGCCAGAGACTCAGCGAGCAGAGTCACATGGGGAGGCCTCTCACCTGACCCAGATGCGTCACAGCGGACAGGCCCGCCTCCCCGGGTGAGGCGTGGTGGCAGTTTCCTGCTTCCGGCAGCTCTGGTGCCCATATCCCCATCGCCTGGTTAGCCTGGTCTGTGAGGGCGTCTGGGGCTGAACTCAGCTCAGGGAAGAGCCAGGGTTGCCACTCTTCTAGAAGTCATTACTGGGTCATCTGCGCTGTACATTGTTGGGGATGAGAGTCAGGTCCGCCAGAAGTAGTATCCCAAAGGAAGGAAAACTGGTGCTTCGCTCATACAGAACCTATTGTGAAACACCTCCAAATGGGGAAGGAATATTCAAATGATTTTTCTCCTCATTAGCATTTATTAGTGGAAACAGACTTGAAAAGAGGTCCCTTGGATCCATTGCAGCATCAGTGGGTCTGAAACATTTTCAGACACCATCACCACCCTCTGATAAAAAAGATAAGAGTGCCATCTTATCTGAAATCTTCTTAGAATGAATTCTAAACTAATACCGGTTCCCGAAGGACAACTTGGAAAATACAGAAAAGCCAGGGGGCAGAAAACCAACCCTCATCTCATCACTCAGAGCAACAAATATGCCATCAAAAACCAATTTGTAATTTTCTTGAATGATCAAAAACTTTCATGTGAATTTTTGATTCCTGTTTCTCCCTAACCGAAACTATATACCGAATTGTCTATTCATCTCTCTCTGAGTTCTCTTCTCTCAAAGGACTCCATGTGAGCTAGGCTGATAGAACTGACAACCATAAAGAACCTGAAAAAATTATCAAAAGAAACAGGGGTTAGAGGCCAGAAAATCCTGTTTTCCACCTCTTCCCACTGTTGACAGTGGTGATATTTGGGTTGAATATTTAGCATCAGAACTACAGAATGATCTACCTGTAGAATACTCCAGGTTGTAGGGCCAGTGTGATTGGGAAATATAGTAGTTGCAAAAGTTATGAATGGACTTCATTAGGGAAGCCACACCCCAGTGGGTGTGGTCTAAATATCAGGCAGCTGCCTCCTGAGATGAGAAGCCCCAGAGGAAGTGGTGTGGCCTTTACTTTGGAACCTCCATCACCTGCCCAATCAGGCCATCTAATTTTATTGGCCTACAGTCTACTTTTCCAAGAGGCCATGGAAGTATAAATAATAAAGCAAGAAAAGAAGATCCATTTGGCTGGCTGCATAGATTTCTTCTGAATGTACTGTGAGTATGAGAACTTCTCTTTGAAAAGGTCAAGCGCTTCTTGCTTATTCCACACAAAGTTTGCTTCAGCTTGCAGGAGGGTACAGTCAAGTCCTAGAGGGATTGTCTAGAAGAAAATTCTAGAGGAGTTCTAGAGCTTGGAAACCCCTCTTTTGAAAAGGGTACTGAGCATCTCCAGTGAGACCCTGATCATTTTCCCAGATGTCTATCTCTTGTGCTTTTCTAAAGGATGTGGGGATGGGGATAGCCTAGGAAAATCAAGAGGCCCCTCCAAATCGGATCTGTGTCTTCCCTGTAGTTCTGGCCATAGCCAGTCCTGTCTGTGAGCTGTGGTGTATCTTTATCTCTTCCCAAGGACAGAGGCTGCATTCATCAGTGTACTATTCCAGCATTGGAAAAGACTCTGATGCTGGGAAAGAGTGAGGGCAGGAGGAGAAGGGGGTGACAGAGGATGAGATGGTTGGGTGGTATCACTGACTCAGTGGACATGAGTTTGAGCAAACTCCGGGAGACAGTGAAGGACAGGGAAGCCTGGCATGCTGCAGTCCATGGGATCGCAAAGAGTTGGACGTGAGTTGGCTGATTGAACAACTAACAACAACTATTCCATGGAGAAAGTGAGGCCGAGCAACCCGTTTCATGAATTTTTGCAGAATTGCCTTAAAAGATTAGATTCTTGTTCTGATCCATCAGAATGCATGTTTTGACCTCAGAGAGCTCCTTTGTCCACTCAGGGCCTCAGTTTTCCCTTTATAGCACAAGTGGCCCAAAGTTGATGGTCATTCAACCCACACAGTCCCTCATCCTAGAATGAAGTTACAATGCAGGAGGAACAAGCCAGGCAAAGAGCTGGAAAGTGGTTGAGGATTTGGAGAAGTCTTTGGGGATGGGTGTTGGCACTGCCTCAGGAGAGGGAGCTCCATGCTTGGGTTTCAAAGGAGACCATGGGCTAGTCAGCAGCACTGGCATGGACCATTTCTTGGGCATTGCTCAAACGCCATAGTGCCTAATGCATGACAAGGGCTCAAGATAGTTCTTAAAAGGATGAAGGCAGAAATCTCCAGGGTAAATCCAAAGATGAGATGATGGACCTGTGTCTCAGCCCCTTCTTCCTGGGAAGGAGGATGAAGTCTGTTGCCATAGTCACTACAGTTCTTTCACGGGTCGGTCTCTCTCCCTTCCAACAGGGGAAAGAGGATGTGTCTCACCACCACTGAGTTCTAAACTTGTTTTGAAAAATAAGACCTTCTAATGTGTCCAGAGTGATCGCTTTTAACATGTCAATCCCGTAAAGCAGGTTGGAGCACAGGGCATCCCTGAGATGTCTCCTCTGGTGGGGAGTTTTTGTGCTAGTCTTTTGGGATGCTAAGGCACATCTTCAGGAAGGAAGGGTCCCTCAGGTCCCTTCTGAGTTTATCCAGGTCCCATGCACTCTATGGAGAACTTTGGAAAGGCTTAGAGAAAAGCTGGGGTCTTGGAGGGCCTGCGATTCCTTGGGATGGGGCAAGACGCCTGTGTCTAGCCTTTGAAGACAGAGACTCCCACCACTTCTGGGAGATGGTAAGGGAACAGGGAAGCTTGGTGTGCTGAAGTCCATGGGGTCTCAAAGAGCTGGACACGATTCGGTGACTTAACAACAACAACAACCTTCTCACTGAGTGGGGCCCTTGGGCTGGTGGACCTCGCTCATTAGCCTCGAGTTTTAGGGGATGGGAGCTCGTCCCGAGCATCCTAAAACTTTGGCTTGAGGACGGATACCACCTAAACTTTTCCTTGTTGCTCGGTTTATCACAGGGAAGAGAGATAGAGCAGTCAGGAGACAGGAGATCCGGGGAGGGTGGCGGAGGTCTTTTTTCTTTGAAGACGATGGCTCCAAAGCACCACGCGTGGAACAATTCTGCTACATCCCGTGTGTGCTCCTTCTGTTGGTGGTGTTCCCTCAAACTACTGGTGACAACAAGGATGAAAGTACTTTGTAAAATTACAACTATTCTTAAGAGTGCTATTTTAGCTCACTGGCCTCTGGTAGCTCAGATAGTAAAGAATCCGCCTACAATACAGGAGATCTGGGTTCAATTCCTGGGTTAGGAAGATTCCTTGGAGAAGGGAATGGCAATCCACTCCAGTATTCTTGTCTGGAGAATTCCAGGGACAGAGGAGACTGGCGGGCTACAGTCCATGGGGTTGCAAAGAGTCAGATGTGACTGAGCAACTAACACTTTCACTTTCTCTCCCTCCCTGAGTTGCTGTGATAAGGAGATTCCAGTCACTGGGCTTGGCAGGATGGTGTTGCGGGTAAAAGCAGTGCCGGCTGCCTTGCCCTTCCTTAGGTAAACCCACCCCCACCCCATATGTAGACTTCAAGTACCTGAACTGCTTGTCCAAAGGGCTTCTCATTTATACCTGGAACATATTTGGTTTGGATCTGTCTTTAGGATAAGTAAGTCCTGAGTCCATGCCATGATATTACTACTAGTAAGAGAAGAAAATTTTTTCCCCAAATTACTAGGGAATGTAAAACCAAGATGGTCAGAAATGAGCTGAAATTCTGCTACAGATTTATCTGCCCCCTGTGTACTCCACAAAATTAGGTTTCTAGTTTGCTCTTTTCCTTTATTTTATTTACCTATTTATTGGATTGGCCAAAAAGTTCATTTGGATTTTTCCGTGGGATGTTATGGAAAAATTCGAACAAACTTTTTGACCAACCCAATATTTTGATTGACAGCCAAATACACACACCCCAAAATAAAAATGAGTAAAGACTTGCTCAACTTCGACAATCTATCAGCTTATTAGGAAATAACCAGTCCCTCGGGTATTTTAATTGATGGGATAAAAAAAAATTAGACTCTTTGGGCATCAGGGCCTGGTACCAATCTGACGAGTTTGGGTCGGTTTAGGGCCTGTGATGACAGATGGACGGGCCTGGAACTGGAAGTAGAGTGGGCTGCTTGCAGGGGAGGAAGGCCAGGCTGTCTGCACTCCATGAGCCTGAGCAGGAGGCCTGTGGGGACCGCTGTGACACAGGTTATAGAGGTAGGGAACACTAAGGCTTGGCAGGGTGTGGGCTGTGTCCTAAGGGGTGGGCGCAGCGAGCTGATTACCAGCATCCAGTGGGGAGAAGGGTAAGATATCACTCCTTCCCCATTTATTAGATGAAAATATGGAGGCTCTGTAAAGAGTCTTCTTGGGAGTCACTGAACAAACACGTAAGCCAGAGAAGACCAATATCCAGACTTCCTATTCCATGTGTATATGTATTAGTCACTCAGTCATGTCCAGCGCTTTGCAATTCCACGGACAATAGCCCCTCAGGCTCCTCTGTCCATGGAATTCTCCAGGCAAGAACACTGCAGTGGGGAGCCATTCCCTTCTCCAGGTCTTATTCCAATAGTCAGATCTTATTCCTGAAACACGGTGAAGTAGGGAATCGACTTTGAGGGTCACTGACCAGGCATCACTGTAGAGTTATGCATGTGAGATGTCTGTGCTTCTGGGGTGGAGTTCCAGCATTTTCCTTTCCCTGCTCCAAGTCCTGGCCCTGTCCTGCCCTGATCCGTACTCGGTTCCGGGGGCAAACTGCTCAAACCGCTTCCCACCCCACCTGGCTGGTCATCCAGCTGCTAGAATGTTCTCTCAGCTCTTTGTCAGCCAGGTCACTTCTTCATTCCCAGGTATTGGAAAATAATGCATACGAAGGTGGCCTACCCCTCTGGATGGAAAAAACTTCTGTTTTTAATCCAAGCAGTCTTTGTATGGTCCAACCCACTAATCTGAGACACTGAATCTTTTCCATTTTCTTCCCCTTATCAGAAATAACCCTGGGGATTTTACTGATCTTCATTTCTATAATCTAGTTTCAGACAGCCCCTGGAGGCTTGGTTCATCACTGGCCGTCTTTAATTTTTACTAAAGAGTGAGTTATTAGGAATGAAAGGTATTTGGAGATCACCTAGGCTCAGAGAGGGGAAGGCGCTTCCTCAGCATCACACATCAGAGTCAGGATTCCTGTCTGCCTGAAAGCCCCAACATTTGAAATAAAACAAAACTTGCATTTGTTAGGATGCTTTTGCCTTGAAGTAACTGACCACATATCTCACACCAGCATCACGGAAAGTCTTGGGGTACAGTGGGCTCCAGGTGAGCTTACCCTGGAATCCCCAACCTCAGTTTCTGAGCAGAGCCCTTGTAGGCACCCTCTTTGTGTTCTGGGCTTGTCCTAGAGTCATTCCCTTCATGGAACTAAGGGCTATGGTAGTCCCCAGTGTCTACATCTCCCTGGTCAGGACATCCAGAGGAAGAGAGAGGACAACAGCACCCCAACAATCCAACAAAGAACCCTGAAATACCCCCTCACTGGATCACTGAAGTCCTCCGTCCCTCTCTGAAAACTAACAAGAGAAACTCTCTATGCGCTGATTGGATTAGGCCCGGCTCAGGCCCCAGTCAGTAGTAGACGAGTGGAGGTTACCCTGCCCCATTCAGGGCTACCCTTAGAGCTGGGGTCGGGGTCCTGTCCCTGAGGCGCATGAGCTGCCCGAGGGAAGGGTAGATACCTGAAAGAAAAGTTTGCTTAGGAAGACAGAAAGGAACCATGGGGAGCAAAAGCAAAAGCAAAAAGAATTTTCAGACACAGGGCCCCAAGCTTCCTGAAGACTCATGTCTGCTGTATCCACAGGACCTGGGCCTAGAGGGCTTGAGGGCATGAAGAAAGTGAGGACGTGGGGCTCTCCTAGGTGCAGGCCTTGTGCTGCTCATCATTTATTCTCTCTTTCCGTCAACTGAAAGGAGCCTAATTGGTGCACGTCCCTGGGGCTGGTGATGCTGTGAGAGCTGGCTGCTACCAGCTCACAGCTCCCCTCTCCTCTCGAGGAAACTTCAGCTCTGGTTATAAGGGAAAACAAACTAAATCAAGCCAGCCAGCTCTAAAAGGGTTATTTATTGGCTCTTATAACTTGGAAAAATGGAACTGGGTGAGCTTCAGGTAAAGTTCAATCCAGGAACTTCAAAGATGTCACCAAATACATATTCTTCTTTCTCTCCTTCCATCTCTCTCTCTCTCTGTCTCTCTCTCACCTTTCCTTCTGTATGTGGATGTCATGTTCACATTCAGGTCCCAGGCTTTCACATTAAGCCAGTTACCCCAGAGTTAGAATGGACTTTGCATTCTCAAAGAAAGACACTGATTGATCCTATTTTTGTCAACTTCTCATTCCTTAAGTACTCAGGGTGGCAGGGGGATGGAGTATTATGATGACTTAGCTTGGGTCAGATGTCCACACCATGGATTATTCTTACTGTGATCCAGTGTAGAGAAGGAAGCAGTTCCTTAAAGGAACTGAGATCCTGTTACTATAAAACAGGGCAAGAGGTAAACAAGAGCTATCCTCTACACTCAGACTTCTCAGTCATGTAGTCATTTCTAGTCTCCGAAGTGATTGCAAAGGCTAGATGCTGTAATGAATGTCACAGCATTTATGAACTGCTATGCACAGTACACGCTGGTCACAGTATCACTTCTTTCATTGGTCTTCCTTGTGGATAAGACAGGGGTAATGGAGTTCTTTTGTTCTCTTTTCTGCTAACCTCGGGTCTACTACTCAACAGGACAATCTCCAAGAAAAATGAACCCCTTGCTGGGCCTGGGCCTGCTTCTGGCTGGCCTCCTTACTGTGGAAGGTCTTCTGAAGCCGAACTTCTCTCCAGAGAATCATGAAGCTGTGAGTCAGGGCCAAGGAGGGAAGGGAAAGGGGACAGCTCAGGAGCTTGCAAAGCGCAACGCAGACTTTGGACTCAAGCTGTTTAAGAAACTGTCTTTCCACACCCCTGACAATAACATCATCTTCTCCCCCTGGAGCATCTCTATGGCCTTCTCCATGCTATCTCTGGGGGCCCAGGACTCCACCCTGGCTGAGATCAAGGAGGGCTTCAACTTCAGGAGCATCCCTGAGAAAGACCTCCATGAAGGCTTCCATTACCTCATCCGCAGGCTGAATCAGAGGAACCAGGACCACAGGTTGGGACTCGGGAATGCCTTGTTTATTGACCAGAAGGTAAAGCCCCAGCAGAAGTTTCTGACAGAAATCAAGAACATGTATGAGGCAGACATCATCCCCACCAACTTCCGGAACTCAGAAAATGCTCAGAAGCAGATCAATAACTACGTCAGTCAGAAAACCCAGGGGAAAGTCGACAACCTAGTCAAGAACGTAGACCCTGGCACTGTGATGCTTCTTATCAACTATATTTTCTTTCGAGGTAAGGCTTAGGGTATGTTGGCATGCAGACTTGAGTCAGATTCATGGGTTGTCCACTTACTTGCTCTGTGACCCTGAATTCACATGTAATTGCTCTCTTTGAATCCTACTTCTCCTGTCTGAAAAAGGAGTACCTTGATACACAGCTCATAGGGCGGTTATTGGGATTCAAAGTGGAAATGTATGATAAATGAATGTTTTGAAGTCTATTCCCCATGTGTGCGTTTTTATGATTACTGATTATCCTAACACAACATTGGTTGTAGAGGTTGAAGGGTCATCATTTTCCCCATTTCTTAGATCAGGAAAGTGAAATTCAGAGAGAGATTAATTAATTTGCTCAAAGCTACAAAGCCAGCCAGTGACAGTCAGGAGTTACATCCACTTCTCTTGACCTAATGGCTGTGCTTTCCATCACTCCAAGTAGATGCCCAGGATGGTGACCGTGTTGATGGTCAGGTAGTGATCACTGTGACCATGATCACATTGGTAGGTGCCTTGGTTTTCCCACCACATGTTATAGACTCCCCAAGTCTGAGGGTGAGGTATTGAAAAAAAAAGATGAAAGTATATTCCCTAATTCAAGCTGCATCCACCACACTATACACACCCACTCACACCACACACACACAAAAATGTTGGCCAACATAGGTGAGAATGAGAAGCCAGCATCCCTCGGACCAGGCAAGGCTGCTGGGCTGTCAGCAATATGGTCCTGAATATGGAAGTTCGGCTCTCCCAAAATCCACAAGGAGATTGATGGTTATAGGGGAAAACAGGAGTGATAATGGTAGACTGTCCAAAGCAGGGAAGAAAGGAAAATTAGGAATTTCCCAAAGCCCCTACATCCTCTAGATTGCAGCAAGAACCATAGCAACAGTGATGTAATGATGCCTAGCATCCACTCAACACTTGCTACACACAGTCAGTAAGCTGTGTTGCCTTTCCCCACTAAGTCTCACAGCAGCCCTGTGAGATTCCCGTCAATATCCTCAGTTGGCAAATAAGGACACTGAAGCCCAGGGAGGTTGAGACGCTTGACCAAGGTTTTCCTTCTAGAGCAATAAAGCCAGACATTTGAGCTTGGGAACTTGGTCCTAAAGGCCTTATATTGGGGGCTCTGAGGGTAGCACGTGTGAAAAGACCCAGGTCTGAGTTTATGTCATCAGAGAGTTCTCAGGGTCAAACAGAGAGAATCAAAATGCCCAGTTTTAAGTGTTCACTGGTCTTCAGCATGCTCCCCAGGGCCGCCTGTTAGTTTAGTTTTCTTAGCCTTACATGAGCGTGGCTTCTCCAGGGCTAACTTGGAATAGACATGAGATTTTTCACTCAGACCCAAATAGCCCCCACTGAGTGTGATCCAGGGTCTGCTTCTGTAACAGAATCCACAGGCTTTCTCAGCCTCAGGAGCCTTGAAGCTTGGGGAAATCTGAAGTTCCTCTCTTAGTCAGCAGCCCTTGTCTTGGCTTCACTGGGATAAATGATAGCTGGAACCAAGCTCACATCACCTGAAGTGTTCAGGGCATGGCGTGAGGTCAAGGATTCCCGTGCACCTGCTCTGATACACCAGAGCAACCATATTCCTTCTTTAGGTCCTTGGGGGCAGAGACCCAATGGTTAACTGGATCCAGTAGCACTTTCTGCTTATGTCACTTTGTTCTTCTTCAATCTTAAGCCAGGTGGCAACATGAGTTTGACCCAAAGGAAACAAAAGAGGACGATTTCCTTCTGGACAGAAACAAGACCGTGAAGGTGCCCATGATGTTCCATGTGGGCATGTATAAAGTGGGGCGTGATGACCAGCTGTCCTGCACTGTCCTGGAAATGCCCTACCAGAGTGACTTCAGGGCCATCTTTGTTCTTCCTGATGAGGGCAAAATGAAGCAAGTGGAGGAAGCCCTGGGGCTGGACACTTTTGACAGATGGCAAAAGTTACTCGTACGAAGGTAAAGAGGGTGCCTGACATATGCAGTATCTTCCATCTTCCTCCCTCTCCTCCCGCTCCTTCTTTCTCAGACTTATTGAGCTCTTACCCCATGGATAAGGCCATCTGGGCTCCATGATGAATTTATCTTTTGGTAGGAAGTATGCTAGAAAACAGGTCATAGAAATGTAGATGCTTAAACATTGTGAGAGTGCAGAGGATGAAGCAAACTTGGTGGGCAGTGGTGGTCAGGGAGGGCTTCATGGAGGAGGTGGCATTGGTGCCACGTCTTCGAGGCTGAATAACAGTACACATGGATGGATGAGGGATGAGGAGTGACAAAATCCCAGGCAGAGGGAAACTGTGAGGACAAACACTTGGGGTGTCAAAGGGAGCTGTGAGTTGTACATCGTACATAGGATGTTTTCAATTGTGGTGCCATAATGAAACCAGTGAAGTGTGAGCCAAATAAGTTGTATTAATAATAGTTGAGGGACTGAAGTCACTAAATACTTTTCTTTTCAAATATAAAATTAGAACAGATTTAAGGTAAGCCTCCAGAATCTCACCCAGGCACTTGCCTACTGACAGCTTTTCTTGGGAAGGATGAGATCTAGAATTAAGAACTGGGGACTTGATGTCAGTGTAGACCTGCAAGGTGCCTCAAAAGCTTCTGGGCTAGGCCAGGCAGCCGGGAGATGTGGTGATATTACCAAAAGTGGAGGTCTTGCTGCTCTCTCCTCAAAAGCCAGTAAAGATGCAAATTGATGGAAAGGAAAGTTTGCTTTACTTTGGATGCCAGCAGTGGGGCAGGGAATGAGAGTAAGGGCAGACTGCTGTCCAAAGGCCGATTGACAGTCCACGACCAAGAGCTTTTATAGAAGGGGGGGGGGGCCCTCCATGCAGAAACAGCACAGTCACCTCTGGCAGTCATGTTGAAACTGGTCATCAGTGGTCTTGATCATCATCCTGATTGTTTTAAGTACAGTCTTTAGTTCCAGGGTTGGTTTGTTCCCTTTCCTTTGAGGCCAGTTCTCGGAACTGTGACAACTTATGTCATGGCTATAGTCTGATCATCACGTAGTTAACTTCTTCTACCTGGTAGGAGTGTCAGTATCTACAAGACAGCTCAAAGGATATGGTTCAGGATATTAACTGAACCCTGGAGGAGGAACTAAAAGTCCTTGACCTTGCTTAGTGATTAAACTATTGTTATTTGGTCTCATTTGACTGCCTTCCTTTGTTTCTGCATTTTCTCATTCCTCTGATTAAAATTACTCTTTGGCTAAAGTTTCCCCACAGACAAAAAGCAGGTGGAGGACATGCAGGGAAGAGACCATAGGGTCCTGCTGTATTTCAGGGGGTCTATGAGATCGAAAAGGAAGCTTCCACTTTGGTAGAAACAATGTCAGGATATCCTTCTCCTTGGTCCTTTTGTTCTCTCTTCCGCCTTGACTCCACCATGATTCTCCATCCAAAAGGCCTTTACTGAAAACCTCTGCCATGCCCAACATGCTGTCAGGAGTGGAGGAGGGTTCTAAGAGAGGCAGAGACGATGTTAGGACTGAGCTGGGCTGTCCATGAATGATAACTGAACCAACAGAGTTTCCTTCACATGGGAACAGACCTTTGGAGAAATTGAAGAATGCATCTCAGATACCCAGATTTAGCTGCAAGCTCATGGGAGAGAAATTCTATTTCTGAATGATAAAGCCTAATTCTACTACGACTCCCCCTTTCTTTCAGAAAAAAAATTAATGACCACAGAAAAAATAACTTGCCAGACTCCTTTGCCCTCTTGAAAGCTTGCTCAGACTTTCCCTTTTCTCCAGCATTTCTGATCCCCAAGTCAATCTGTACTTTTTTCCCATGGCACTTACTGAGACTACCAGTCCATGTATCTACTCTTTTGTCTGCCTTTAGTTGTGATGGTGTTATTGTCTTTCTTCCCTAGTAGAGCACAGGTTCAAGAGCATGGATTTTTGCCTGCTCTAGATGCACCTAAGCATGTAGGACAGAGCCTGGTATACAGTAGGCAGTAAATAAGCTTGCGTCAAATGAACGGATAAGTGGAAAGGTAAGTCTCAGAGTCATTGGGCCTATCGTTGGTGTTAAAATCCAAGGCGCAGAATGAAATCCCCCAAGAGGGAAATAACGATAGAAAAGAGGATGGGGAGAAAAAAGAAAGGAGGACCCAGCAGGAGGCAGACTGGGAGCACTACCATGATGAGAGATGAGTGAGGAGGTGGAGCCAGCGAAGGATGAGAGAAGGAGCACCCAGGGATGGAGGGGAGAACAGAGGGCATGGATCCGGGTGGGAATGCTTCCAAAGGGATTGACTATGAGGTGCCACTTCTTGACTTTTGGCCACTGGCTCTAACAAGCCAAGGTCAGTGGCTGCTCTGGAAAATGGTTTGAGCCGATAATGGAAGTGGGCTCCCTAGAGGCTCAGTGGTAAAGAATCTGCCAGCCAACACAGGAGCCAGGGATTCGATCCCTGGGTCGAGAAGATCCCCTAGAGAAGGAAATGGGCACCTGCTCCAGTATTCTTGCCTGGGAAATCCCGCAGACAGAGGAACCTGGTGGGCTACAGTCCATGGGGTAGCAAAAGAATTGGACACAACTTAGTAACTGAGCGACAACGGCAAGGAACAATGGGAGGACGTGTGTTTTTTTTTCTCTCTGCTCTGAAAGAAAGACGTGGGCTGGAAGCTGGAGACGTGACTAGAAGCCAAGGGAATTGTTTTTGCTTTTGAATTGAGGATGAGGGTTGTTAGAGCCTGCGGTCTGCCCCGAGGGCGGTCCAGTAGAAGCCATTTATGGACTGTGCAGGAAGAAAAGGAAACACAGGCGGGAATGAAGTCCTTGGAGAGACAGAGAGAAATGGCATCAATGGCCCCGTGGACAGGAATACAGTGCCACAGATGCCTCAGCACGGCCGACCCCAGGGCAGGGACGCCAACCCAGGTCCCGAGCGCAGAGCATCTGAGGCGGCTCACTCAAGGCTGAGAGGATGAACACTTGCTTCCTCACTGACTGCTGAGCCTCCGATGCATGCATTTTAGCCACCTTCCGGTCGCCATGGTCACCATCCTCATTTTCATACAAGTGGCTTAGAGAGGAGAGGTCATTTGATCCAGAGCTCCTGGAAGGCAGAGTAGATCTGAACTCAGTTCTGCCAGCTTCCCATCTCAGGGCCTTGCTACCTCTAGCATGAAATGGCTGGAGTTGGGATCAGCTCAGCACGTGGGTGTGGCTGAGGCTATAGTGGAGAGACCCTCTATGGCTCTGCTGAAGGGGTCCTGAGACAGAGGGGCTCGGGGACATTGCTGTGGATGAGGGCTTGGAAAGTCTGATAGAAAAATAAGAATGCAAGTCAGAGAGCCTGGATGTTTTAACACCCCATTCCAGGAGTCTTCTTTGGTGGTCTCGTGGTTAAGGCTGAGCTCCTGATGTAGGAGATCCCGATTCTGTTCCATGTCAGGGAAGTAGGTCCCACCTGGCATAACTAAAAAAATTTTTTTAAGTCCAGGCTTAAGGAGTCTCTCTTTATTCTGTGGATAGAGAGAAGTTCTGAGACCTCAGGGGCTGGGAGGACAGATGCCTCATCACCATCAATCCTAAAGCCTGCCTGGAAAACGGCAGGGCCCCGCTGTTCACCTTTGTCACTTTCTCCTCCCTAGGGTCGCAGATGTGTTTGTGCCCAGATTGACCATCACCAGTAACTACGACCTGAAGAAGATGCTTTCCCACCTGGGCATCAGCAAAATCTTTGAGGAACACGGTGATCTCACCAGGATCTCCCCTCATCGAAACCTGAAAGTGGGTGAGGTAAGCCTGCCTGGCCAGGTCTCTGCCCACCTCCAGCTCAGGGAGTCTTCGTACAGCCCCGGGCCAGACACACTATCACAGGAGCTGTGATGAGCCAAGAGTTCCCCCAGTCAGGCCAAGCCCAACTGCCCTGAACCGCCTATGGTCCTGGGCAAATCAAGTACCCTCCCAAGCCTCATGTTTCCAGTCTTCAAAATCGGACCTGTCGATCTCCTGGTCATACTTTGGAAGTTGATTCAATGCAACAGTGGATGGAGGCTTGGAGCAGTCATCAGGTCTAGGAGTGACCGAGGCTTGGGAGGAGTAAGTTGTGAACATTTTTCTACATAATGTAGAGATAAGCAAGCTGAGGACCCCTTGGTCTCCAGCAAGGCTGAGCATTTGCCTGCTGGTGACAGTCAGAAGGACCACATGGGGAAGTGCCCAGATGTAGCAGACAGACTATAATACACCAGGGACTGCCCCGGTGGTCCAGTGGTCAAGATTTCGCCTTACAGTACAGGGGGTAGGGTTCAGTCCCTGATCGGGAGATCTAAGATCCCACATGCCTCATGACCCCGAAAACCAAAACATAGAACAGAAGCAATGTTGTAACAAATTCAGTAAAGACTTTAAAAATGGTCCACGTTAAAAAAAAAAAAAATCTTAAACACAGGACATCAGCAAAATTCAAATTTCATATAAGTGATGAATGAATGTTTTTTGTATAGCCTAAATATTGCATGGGATATACTTATGCCGAAATTTTCATCATTTACCTGAAATTCAATTTTAACTGGAAATTCAAGTTTATCCGTACTTTATCTGGCAATCCTACTTTTAGGTTCAAAAGGTATTGAGATCAGGGAAGATTTCAGCAAGCAGAGACAGGTGGGGGGAAGATCTTCCAGGAGGAAAGCACCCCAGCCTGAGGCTGGTAGGTGAGAAGGCGTGGAGTCTAGGGGGTGGAGTTGACAGCTGTGATTCTATGTGTAAACATCAACCATTGACTTGCCAGTAAAATCACTAGCATTCTGTAGAACAGAGTCAGATGGCACTAGCGGTAAAGAACCCACCTGCCAACACAGGAGATGTAAGAGACTCGGGTTCTATTCCTGAGTTAGGAAGATCCCCTGGAGGAGGGCATGGCAACCCACTCCAGTGTTCTTACCTGGAACATTCCACCGACAGAGGAGCCTGGTGGGCTGCAGTCTATGGGGTTGCCAAGAGTTGGACACGATTGAAGGGACTTAGCAGCAGCAGCAGAATGCAATGAAACGTATCAATATTTAACAGAAGCCCATCAATTTTCCAGTATCCATTACTTCCTCATGGATGTTGATGCCTTTGGGGTGGATCTGGGGCCTGAGTCATCTCCAACAGCTACCCTGGAATCAGACTCCCTCTAAACACTCCACCAGGAGGATGAAAGGCGTTCAGAGGGGGCTGGCTGCTTTGGGCCGGGGGTGCCTTCACCTCCCTTCCATCCAGCTAAAGTTCAGCACAGCCTTTCCGTGATTAGTACCATTGATGAATCCCTGCAAGTCTTGGGAAACATAGCAAATCCCACTCCGTCTCCCCTCCCTGTAACTGATGCTCTCCTGCATCATTTTTTCTTTCAAGCTGCATCTGCTTGTTGAGTATCCTTAACTGATGACAATAGAACAGGCATGAGCCCTGGGGCCACGGGCACCAGCCGAGTTCCTGCTATGCTGGGTGACTCAGGCAGAGGCCTCTTCTTCTCTGAGCCTTGTTGACTTAAAAAATAGTCACAACCTCGAAGTTGAGAGTTATGTTTTATTCAGTGGGAATTTTTAGGACTGCAAGCCTGGAAGACAGCATCGCAAGTAACCCTGAGAAAACTATTCGGAGGAGATAGGGGTGTTGGGGGTGAAGGAGTTAGGTTATATAGAAGTTGGTGACAAGAGGCAGGTAGTCTGAACATCAAAAGATTATTGTTAATTAAGGAAAACCAGAGATTTCAAGTTAGGAAATTTACTGTTTTTCTATGTCTGGGAAGATGCAAGAGTCTGGGCTCACTGCAATCATTCCTTTCATATGTATCTCAGCTATCTGGGGCCAGAATCCTGTGATTTGCTTTTTCACATCTTTAGTTCCTTGATCATCATTGGATCCTAGGCGTTGCTCTTTCTGAGTGTCCTCCAGGCTCAGAAAGTCCCATCTCGAGGGCCGGAACAGCTGATGGCTCTGACATCCTTGTTTATTGATATGGCAGGAAATACTCCATTTCAAGGGTTTCCCTGGTGGTGCTAGTGGTAAAGAACCTGCCTGCCAAAGCAGGAGAAGTAAGAGAAGAGGATTTGATCCTTGGATCGGGAAGATCCCCCAGAGGAGGCCATGGCGACCCGCTCTAACACTCTTGCCTGGAGAATCCCGTGGACAGGGGAGCCTGGTGGGCTACCACCCACAGGGTCACAAAGAGTCAGACATGACTGAAGCGCCTTAGCATGCGTGCACACACTCTATTTCACAGCCTCTTGTTAGCTTTCACCCATCCAGGGCCTCCGAGTGGCTTCCCAAGCACTGACCCTACTCCTGTTTCCCGCAGGCGGTGCACAAGGCTACCCTGAAGATAGATGAGAAGGGCACAGAGGGGGCTGCGGGCTCCGGAGTGCAGACACTGCCCATGGAGACGCCAATTCAGGTCAAGATAAACCACCGCTTCCTGCTGATGATCTGGGAGACTAAAATGAATAACCTGCTCTTCTTTGGAAAGATTGTTAATCCTTCTGGGAGATAAGGCAGAAACCCGACTTCCTGCAGACCCCAGCTATGTCCTGGGGTTGGATGCGCTTTGTCTCCTTGAGACCACAGGGACTGTCTCATCTCATCTCACATTATCCTGAGCTCTCCACACCACCATCCAAAGAGGCAGCACCACTGGCTTCTGGGCACCATTTCCCCCCTTAGCCCCCTTACCACCCATTCAAATTTCAGGATTAGACGCCTCATCCCCACCCAGTTGATAGTAACCTTCTCCTCCGCCCCTGGTAGGCAGAGGGGTTTTGTGATTTAATAAACAATACTCCCAAGATCTGCTGACTGTTGGTAGACAATATGGGGATTCTGTGAGCCAAGGAGAGTACCGGCTTGGGGTTCAGAGTGAAGGAGACCTGGGTTCAAATCTCAGAAACACAGTCTTTGGGAAAGTCCTAATATGCTCTCCGCACTTCTGTTTCCCTATGGAACTAGGCCAAGACTGAGGACAATGATACTTCTCGAGGGCTCCGAGGAAGCTAGCACACCACTTGAGAAAAGTTAGTTCCCCTTTGTGAGCCCTTGGCTTGGGGTGTTTGGCGTGTAAGCTACACAGATATCCTCTGCATAGGGTCCCTATGGGAGCTGTGGGCTCAGTCAAGCATCCAGGCAGATGACAAAACAGGAGTGGGGCTGGTCCAACATTAGGCAGATGCAACCCAGAGTAGCAGCAGCCAGGAAACTCAGTGCCAGGTTTGTCTGACTCCAGAGCCGCTGTTTCAGGCACAGCGTGGAGACCGTGGGTTTTGAGCCAGTCAGCAAGCTCTGCTGAAGAGTTAATCCTTTCGGTGCACCTGGCCCGGAAAGCATGGCCATGCAGGGTCTGCCTATAGCCACTAGAGGGCACCAGTGTTCACAGGACCAAGGATGCGATGCGTGTGGGTTTCTTTAAGCACCCGATTCCTTAATACCCAAAGCCAGTGCTGAAGGTGTTTAGGGAGGAAGGGATCCTCACTGGCTTGGCGCTAAGAAGTCTGAGCTGGCACCAGTTGCCATCCCCTGGCAATTCACAGCTCACCATGCCTCTTCGGTCCTGGTCACAGCTACCCTGCCCGCGGCCAGAATGGACATTTGTATGAGAGATGTGGAACGTGAAGCTCAGAGAGGCAAAGTGACTTCCCTGTGTCTTTGTGGTTAGTGACAGGCAGCAAACAGCCATGTCATCTGGTCTGGGGCAGGAAGGGAGGGTTTCCACATAGACCTGGGGGCCCAGTTAGTCATTGCATTCCTCAGATCCAGTCCCAGCTGAGAGAGCTGCCCTGTCCCACTTGACGTGTGTGTGTGTGTGTGTGTGTGTGTGCACGCGCATGCATGTGTGTGTTCAGTAAGCACCTCCTCCTCTGTCCCGGGCCCTTGCAGGGCCCTGGAGACCCAACTGTCACACGAGCTTGTAGGGAAGGTAGCCTAGAGAGGGAGAGGACTAGTTTAGGATGCTAAGTGCTAAGATCAGGCAGCACCAGAGTAAGCAGCCTCTGTTTGAGAAGGTGGGAAGGGTGAGAACGTTGAGATTCTGCACCCAGGACACAGATGTGGGGGCAACAGCACTCGCTGGAGCACTTTACTGACCATCATCATTTCCCAGGCATTAGCCTGGGGGTTGGGGGCTGGGAGGACACCAGGGCAGCACCAGAATCCCTAGGAATTCACTCAAGTCCGTGACATGTGCCACTGGGGACGTGGGACGAGAGGGTAAGCCATTTAGTAGCTGGGTGACCTGGGTGTGCCATTTAAAGCCTCTGAGCCTGAGCACCTCCTCATCTGCTGAAAGTTGCTATCTCCTCTACTGGTCATGCTCACCTCCTGCCTAATGAGCTCCTACTCATCCTTCAATGCCCAATCCATAGTAATCTCTTTATGGAATTTTGTCTACTAAGCAGTTGTTCGATAAAGTACTCACCTCCCATGCATTGTGATGGCTCCTGGGTCTGAATTTTCCTACCACTCACACATGGGTTACAATAATCCTGCATAGAATGATGAGTCATGGGACAGCAACCCCTGGGCTAGTTGTTGATACAAACAGACCTGGCCCCTGCCTTCAGGGACTTAATATCCAATGAAAGAAACAAGCATGAATCAAATAACGACATGACCATGAGCTCTAGTGAACATGATGAAAGGTGGTCACTGGCGTTTTGAGAGTTTGTAACAGGTCAGTCTGACACAGCCTGGGGACTCAGACACTGAGAACACGACAATTGGGAAAAGCTCTGAATGTTGAGAACACATCTGTTTTGAATCATAGCTTTTAATTAAAACTGCATAAGGGAGTGTTTTTCCTCATATAGTTAAAAATATGTAAAACCCTGATTGGTCTTTTAAATATTAATAGAAATGAAGGTTAATGTCTAGTGCTTCATTCATCTTTATTTTAATCAGTTTTATTATAAATAGAACTGGTGGTGGTGTTCAGCCACTAAGTTGTGTCTGACTCTGTGACCCCTTGGACTACAGCACACCAAGTTCTCTTGTCCTTCACTGTCTCCCAGAGTTTCTTCAAATTCATGTCCACTGAGTCAGTGATGCTACCCAAACATCTCATCCTCTCCCTTCTCCTCCTCCTGCCCTCATTCTTTCCCTGCATCAGGGTCTTTTCCAATGAGCTGGCTCTTTGCTTCAGGTGGCCAAAGTATTGGAGCTTTAACTTCACCACCAGTCCTTCCAATGAATTTTCAGGGTTGATTTCCTTTAGGATTGAAGGGTTTGTTCTCCTTGCAGTCCAAGGGACGCTCAAGAGTTTTCTCCAACACCACAGTTCATAAGCATCAATTCTTCAGCACTCAGCCTTCGTTATGGCCCAACTCTCACAACTGTGCATGACTACTGGAAAAACAAAAGCTTTGACTGTACAGACCTTTGTTGGCAAAGTGATGTCTCTGCTTTTTGATATGCTGTCTAGGTTTGTCTTAGCTTTTCTTCCAAGGAGCAAGTGTCTTTTAATTTCATGGCTGCCGTCACTGTCCCAGTTTTTCTGTAAGCCTACTTGTTTGTTGTTCAGCCATTCAGTCATACCTGACTCTTTGCGACCCCATGAACAACAACACACCAGCCTTTTCTGTCCTTTGCTATCTCCCAGATTTCACTCAAACTCATGTCCACTGAGTCAGTGATGCCATGAAACCATCTCATCCTCTGTCATCCCCTTCTCCTCCTGCCTTCAATCTTTCCCAGCATCAGGGTCTTTTCCAGTGAGTTGGCTTTTTGCATCAGGAGGCCAAAGTATTAGAGCTTCAGCTTCAGCATCAGTCCTTCCAATGAATATTCAGGGTTGATTTCCTTTAGGATTGACTGATTTGATCTCCTTTCAGTCCAAGGGACTCTCGAGAGTCTTCCCAACACCACAGTTCAAAGCATCAATTCTTCATTGCCCAGCCTTCTTTATGGTCCAACTCTCCCATCCATACATGACTACTGGAAAAATCATGGTTTTAACTATATTGACCTTTGTTGGCAAAGTGATGCTTTTGAATACACTGTCTAGATTTATCATAGCTTTCCGTCCAAGGAGCAAGTGTCTTTTAATTTCATGGCTGTAGTCACAGTCTGAAGTGATTTTGGAGCCCAAGATAATAAAGTCTCTCACTGTTTCCATTTCCCTCCCCCCCCCCATCTTTTTGCAATGAAGTGATGGTACTATATGCCATGATCTTAGTTTTTTGAATGTTGAGTTCTAAGCCAGCTTTTTCACTCTCCTCTTTCACCTTCATGAAGAGGCTCTTTAGCTCTTCTTTGTTTTCTGCCAAAAGGGTGGTGTCATCTGCATATCTGAGGTTATTGATATTTCTCTCAGCAATCTTGATTCCAGCTTGTGCTCTTCCAATCTGGCATTTCACATGACGTACTCTGCATATAAGTTAAATGAGCAGGGTGAGGAAATACGGACTTGACATACTCCTTTCCCAATTTAGAACCCATCTGCTATCCCGTGTCTGGTTCTAACTGTTGCTTCTTTACCTGCATATAGGTTTCTCAGGAGGAAAGTAAAGTAATCTGGTATTCCCATCTCTTTAAGAATTTTCCAGTTTGTTGTAATCCACACAGTCAAAGGCTTTAGCATAGTCAGTGAAGCAGAAGTAGATGCTTTTCTGGAATTCCTTTGCTTTTTCTATAATCCAACAAATGTTGGCAATTTAATCTCTGGTTCCTCTGCCTTTTCTAAAGGCTTGTACCTGGAAGCTCTCGGTTCACATACTGTTGAAACCTAGCTTGAAGGATTTTGAGCATTATTTTGCTAGCATGTGAAATGAGTGCAGCCATATTTTCACTCTTCACTACAGAAATAAATTCTATCTGGGTAACCAAGAGAGGGAAGGCTGTGGTGGGGAGCAGAGGAAACTGTCCCAAGCAGAGAGGTCGGTGTGTGCATAGGCCCTGAGGTCAGAAGGTGATGTGGACAAAAAACTGAAATGGGGTGAATGTAACAGAATAAAGCAAAAGAAGTGGGCAGTGAGGCTGGAGAGGTAGACTGGGTCCTCCTGGGCTACAGGGAGAATGGTGGTTTTGAATTGAGGGACTACGGGGAACTCCAGCAGGCATTTAGTTAGAGGGTGATCCAGACAGACTCTGTGCTGTGTGTCCCTAAGGCTACAGACTGGGCATCTCTGAGTCCCCAGGACCCAGGTGCCAATGCAGGAAATGGAGAAGATGCCCAGCACGTGTTTATTGAAAAGAAAGATTGCCCCAGTCATCGCCCATGTTCCAGACACGGCCAGCTCCTTCCTGAGCTCTCCCCTCCTCAGGGAGGAAAGGCCATGTGCCTTAGCCTGCCTGGAAAGCCCATCATGGGGCTCGTCCATGCCTCTTCTTCACATGGATCTGCGGAACATGCCATCTGCGTCACTCCCTCCAGCCTCTGTTCCTGCCATCCACCCCTCCCCGATGCTCCCCGTGTTTCCCATACTCTCCGCCTCCTGCAGTTCTTTCAGCGTGTTACTCATCTTTCTAGAAAGGAGTCAGACATAGGCCTCACCAGGCCACATGTTTGTGGACTGACAGACCTCATGAACAAATGAATATGTTTAAATGCCTCTCAGCAGCCTGGCACTGAATAGGACCTGCCCCCAAACCCCTGTCAGCCCAACTCTTGAAGTTAGTATGGCCATTCCATTTTACAGATGAGAAAACTGAGGCTCAAGATTGCTTAATTTGCCCAAATCCCCACAGCTAGAAAGCCACAGAGTTGGAACTCTGGAACGTCTGTCCAGCCAGCCAGCCATTTATCCATCCAACAAATATTTGCCGTGTCTACTTGGTGCCAGGGACTGTTCTAGGGGCTGG